CCCCAAAACGAGTGGCAAAATGCCACTCCTTGCAGGGGCGGAAGAAGCGCACCCTAAGAGCCGGCACACGGCTCTTTGTTGTCCCTTCTGGCACAGCGCGTCAGGATGCTGCACCGGGAGGGCATCCTGACGCCCCGTGCCATGTGTAACGGCGCATGGCATCAGGACACCGTCGTTGTGGGATTGGGGTGGCTGGCGTGTGGCTGCCCTGCCCCATCTCTTCCTCCAGGACGGCCCTTTAGGCTGGTCTGTAGAGGCCTTTAGTCTTTTTCTGATTTCTGGACTGAAGTCCCCATTTAAATTCATGTTTGATCCCAAGTATGGGAATTCTTTTACTATTTCTATTTCTTCATTGTCTAGGTTGAACTTGTGAAGGTCCTCAGTGGTCATTATTTTTGTTTTCTTTATGTTCAACATTAAGCCTGCCTTGCACTTTCTTCTTTGATCTTACTTAGTAGGTGTTCCAGATCCGTGAGGTTTTCTGCTAGTATTATGGTGTCATCTGCATATCTTAAATCATTGATATTTCTTCCTTCTATTTTCACTCCTTCTTCTGCGTCGAAGCCTGTTTTTTGTATGATATCTTCTGCATATAAGTTGAATGCAGCTGAATACACTGACTGAATTTAAAAGAGCACTGAAGCCCAGTCTCTTCCAGAGGCTTATCCAGATGATTTTTTTTAATTGTGAATTTTAAATGATGAATTTTAAAGGTGGATTGTTTTAATAGGTATATATCTTGTCCTTTTAAATTGTGTGTATGTCCTTTTAAAGGGATAAGTGTTTTAACTGATGTGGTGTGCCTGTTAATTGTTGTTGCCCACCTTGATCCATGGGGTGGACTCTTTTTGGTTTCGGGGTCAACTCTGTATGAAGTGTGTGTGTAAGGAAGGAGCCCACTTTCCTTTTCCATGGGAGAAATCCCACCTCGGACGGCACCTTTTGGACCCATAACCTATGTCTCCACCAACTCCCAGTGAGGGTCTGGTCCAAACAGGGTGACCAGAGGTCCTCCTTTTCCAGGACATGTCTCCATTTTAAACTTCTGCCCAGGAGGAATTCCAAAATGACCTCCATTTGGAGCATGACTAAGAAGCATGAATTGATATAAGTGTTTTTAGCACTCCATTTTCCTTGAATGTCCTACATTTGGTGGTGCCTTGTCCTCCTTGGTGGTTACGACATCTGGTCACCCTGTTAGAAATATGCCCAGGGTGACCAGAGGTCCTCCTTTTCCAGGACATGTCCTCTATTCCCACCTTCTGCCCAGGAGGAATTCCAAAATGTCCTCCATTTGGAGCATGACTAAGAAGCGTGAATTGATATGAGTGTTTTTAGTGTTCATTTGGGAAGGGCCTATCTTTGGCAGGGCCTTGTCCTCCTTGGCAGTTAGGAAACCAGGATGATCAGATGTCCTCCTTTTCCAGGACACATCCTCCATTCCAACCTTCTGTCCAGGAGGAATTCCAAAAGGAGCACAATTTTATATTTCTAGGAGTGTTTTGAGCTTTGCTTGGATCATGTCCTCCTTTTTTCTTGGTGGTGCCTTGTCCTCCTTTGTGGTTAGGAGGACATCTGGTCACCCTGGATCCAAATGTTGATTGATTGATTGATTGATTGATTATATTAATGTGTATCCCACTTTTCTCCCAAAATTGGGACCCAAAGTGGCTTGCAGTCTAAAAACTTGCAATCAAAATCTTTACAGAAATGCAGTTCAAAACTTACAAAAGTGACAACTGAAGCAGAATTAAACTGTTGCAAAATTAAAACGTTGTCCTTCCACTGCCCAGCTAAGAAGTCCTCAGGCGGCCAGGAAAGTGGGGGCGGCTGAGAAAGGGTGTTGGTGCGCCTCTTGTCCCTTATCAGACTCTTATCAGTGGAGGCGGGTTAAAGAATGACTTCAGGATGTTAAAAAGGGGAGGAGGAGGAAAGGTCACAAGGCTGAGGAGGAAAGGAGAAGAAGTCACTGGGGCTCACCGTCAGAGCCTTTTTTACTCTGTTAACACTCAACTTTTCTGCTTTTGGACCCATCTCCCCGCCCCTGTCCCTTCGCTTCCCGTTTTCTCTGCCTGATAAAATGTTCCCCGTTTCTGCAAAGGTGCTTCATTTGCGCACTGGAGAGCCAGGCGGTGCTGAATTCGCACCCAGGACCACCTGAAAGGCGCACCGGGGCTGTGCCAAGAGAGCTCGATCCAAGAAGACTAGAAGCTAGAGACCGTGAGTAGTTGTGGGAGTTCTAATTATCATTTTATTCATTTATATGCCGCCTTTCTCCCATCATCATCATCATCATCATCATCATCATCATCACTATTTTAGTTATTTACATGCCACCTTTCTCCCATCGTCATCATCATCATCATCATCATCATCTTATTTATTTATATGCCACCTTTGTCCCATCATCAACATCATCACCATCAATATTTTAGTTATTTATATGCCACCTTTCTCCCATCATCATCATCATCATCATCATCATCATTTTATTTATTTATATGCCACCTTTGTCCCATCATCAACATCATCAATATTTTAGTTATTTATATG